ATGGTAAGATGCATGTTTTGCATATCAATGGACCTGCTTGCTTCAAGGTATCAGTGGACTGGTCTAGGAAATGTAGCCATATATTTTTTTAAGATTTTATATTTTTATATTCTCTTTGAGTAGGGTTTTAGGTTTGATAAATTTTGACAAATGTATAGTTGTGTAATTACCACAATCAATATATTTCTGAAGATGCAAACAATGATCAGCCTATATGTAAAAAGAGAATTCTGACTGATAGCCTGCAGCATGTGGTCCAGGAACCAACTACTATGTGCACTAATCAGTTCATAAAGTTATCTATTGTCCATAGCAAGTAGTCCAGAAGGCCAACCAAGAATCCTGTAGCAATGGGCCCCAAATGGCCAGGATTTAATACTTGGCAATTTCTCTGTTTACTCCTTAAAACTTAGGTCCTAACTGAAGAAACCTAATATGTGATGCTTTTTTGTGATTTGTTTGCTTTTGTTTTTATTTTTTGAGACAGAATCTCCCTGTAGTCCCAGCTGGCCTGGAACTTGCTATGTAGACCAGGCTGGCCTCAATCTCATAGACATCCACCTGCTTCTGCCTCCTGAGTATTGGGATTAAAGGCCTGTGCCACCATAGTCCTGGCTTCCAATATGTGGTTTTAATCAGTAATACCCTGAGTGCCTCCATTTTATGTAAGTTTAACTGGTCAATCATCTGGTCATAGGACCACCCCTAGGAAGGTGGGTTACGCTAAATAGATGGGCAGAATACTTAGTGCGTTAATGAGATACTGACTTTTTCCTGCCTCTGTCTTTCCTCTGGCCTGGTGCAAAACTTCCTAGCTACAGCCATATAATATAGTCTGTGAGTTGCCCGCTTCCCTGAATTATTCCCTTTTCTTCTTCATGCCTTTCTTACTAAGCATGCTTTCTTTAAGGCTTTTGGCTGCCCCTAGCATCTTATATTTCTTTACTTTTTCTCTAAAGCCTCCTTCTTCCAGCCATGTGGCTGACTGGCAGCCACGTGTCTGACCTCCTCCTCAAGGCAGCTTGCCAAGATTACCAGCTTGCCTGCCCCAAGGAGTTCTTTTTCTTTAAAATTCTAATAAAATTGTAAAAACTTAATTCAGTTGATTTGGAACTTTTTGAGTCTGGGTAGTCTTTCCTGGTGGTCTCTGATAGGTTAAAAATTGGGAGAGTGGAGAGCATGAGGATGGAGGAGGCACTGAGGCACAGATAGAATTCTCAGCAGGATACAGCTTTATTTCACACGGGACACGTTTCCCTCGGGGAAGGGAAAGATGTCAGGGAAGGGCAGGGAAGGGAAAGATGTCAGGGAAGGGCAGGGAAGGGAAAGATGTCAGGGAAGGGCAGGGAAGGGAAAGATGTCAGGGAAGGGCAGGGAAGGGAAAGATGTCAGGGAAGGGCAGGGAAGGGAAAGATGTGGGAAAGATGTCAGCCCACAGGCTGTGAGCTGGCACTTTATATATGGGGGCTTTAGGGTGTAGAAGGGGGGAATATTTGGGGGAGAAATCAGGGAGAGGGAAGCAGGAAAAGCAGGTAGGATTAGGGCAGGGCACCTCACAGTCACTTATTTTCTGCATTTGAAAAGTTGTGGAATTTTGTAATAGTCTCCATTTGTTGCAAAAAGAAACTTCTTTGATGAGTGGTGAGAGGCACACTTGTTTGTAAATATAAGGATATGTATTTTGAACAGAGTTTGTTTCCCTTGACTTAAAGTCTGTAGGTCCCTGTTGGGGAGGGGGGAAGCTGCTGCTGTTTGGAACCCTAACAGTCTCGACTTGATGGAACTCCGTAGCATACCAATCAAATAAGATGCCCTACTTCTGGGCAGCTGCACATAGGAACATGTGACAGTATGCAGCTCAAGCCAGACAAAATCCCAGGGTGGAGTCGGGAGGTGGGCACGAAGTCCCACCCCTAGCTATAGAGCTATTGACATTTGGTAGCTACTGGGAGAGGGAAGGCAAGTTTTCTTAAGAGTGTGACCCCTGCAGGTCAAGCATGTTCCAGGGCAGGTTCCGCACTCAAGAGTATTTGGGCAACAAATTGGACTCAAGAGAGCTGTGGGGAGAACACGAAGTTGTGAGGGTCAGAGGGTGGGGGTGGAGCTGGGAGGAGTGAGGAAGGGGGAAATATAAAAATTCATTGTATGAAGTTCTCAAAAATTAATAAAAATATTTTTTAAAAGATGCCCTTCTAATTATCCACTACCACCGACTTCCTCGTTTCAATAGCCTTGAGTCAGGGTGCATTGAAACCTTCCCTAGTTTCTGCTTTCTACTGCTGCATGGCCTTCTGTTTAATGCAAGTATTTTATTTATTTATTTATTTGCCTTTTTGATACAGGATCTCCCTGTAGCCCCAAGAACTCAGCTGGCCTGGAACTTGCTATATAGACTAGACTGGGCTGGAACTCACAAAGATCCGCTTGCCTGGGCCTCCCAAGTGGATAAAGGCGTGCACCACTACACCCAGCTGTTGCACTGTATTTTAATCAATCCTCAAATGTTGGCTATTTGAACTCTTTTAAACATTTTGATTTTTCAAAGAACATTACAAGACTGCATGTGCCATTTTGTATCTCAGCTGAAGCATCTTCAGGATCCAGTCAAATTGTGTGTGTGTGTGTGTGTGTGTGTGTGTGTGTGTGTGTGTG